AGAAGTGAAGACATCCCACTTGCCCTGTGCTCCTACTATGATGGGCTGTGCTACCGCAGGCCCAGTGTGATGGGGCCAAAAGACCATGGACTGAAATCTCCAAAACCGTGAGCCCTAATAAAACTTTTCTCCTTATGAGCTGATTCTCTCCAGCATTTTCTCATAGCAGCAGAGAGCTGACTCATACAGGGGTGTTTGTTGAACGAATGAGTGAGATGGGTGAGATAATCCTTGTGCCCAGAGGCCATATCCAGTTCATAGAGGGGGAATGGTGGGTCATGACAGGGCCGTAGTATAAGCAGTGTGTGTGCCTAAGGATGACAGAGACAAACCACAGGAACCAGAGGGAGAGAGGGCTTGGGTCTGGCCAGGTAACTAGGGACGGACAATCCCTCTCCCTCTAGGGGCAAGGGGCCCTTCCAGCTGGGTCCCTACGGACGAGGCTAGAGGAGCAGGCATTCTGGAGGGAGGGACCATGGGAGCAAAGGCACAGTGACCGGAAAGCACAAGTGCCGAGGGCGCCGCATTGAGAACAGTTTCTCCCATTGCAGAATCTCTTCTTTGACAAACTGACACAGGAGCTTCAACTTAGAGAATGGATCTGAGAAAACAAGGTGAGTCAGGAGCTGTGGTGGCTAGGGTTGCAGGGCTGGCTGATGGGACCCTTCAGTCCTCTTGACCTCTGAAGAGAAGGGATTCATAAGGTGCAGTGTGCGGGTCTGGCCTGGCAGGGGATGGGTAGAGAGGCTGGAGTTCAGTGGATGTCAGAGAATGCCAAACACTGCAGACAGAGCACTGAAGTGCCAGCCCCCAGCCTCGGGCTTTGCTTACAACAGCACCTGCTCTGAGAGCCGCTCCAGGAGATCCACCCAACTGCCCGCCCTGCGATGGAGTAGACGCTACGGCTACAAACGGAAGTTATTGCCTTGATTCCATGGAAGGATTACTGCGGCCTGATTGCTGGGTGTCAGCGGGAAGGGGAGGGCCAGAGAGATGTGGAAAAAGATTAGAAAGGGGAGAAACACCCTCGACTGATTGTGTGTTCTCATGTGAGGGAGCGCAGGGAGAGCGAGGTGTCGAGGATGAGACGTGTGCTCCTGCAGTGGGGACTGCGGAGAAGGCCGTGCTGCCGGACGGGGAGTGCAGTGTCTGCTCTGTTCGCGTCGTTGTGCCACCAGGCCTCATACACTCACTTTCCTAACAGGATCCTGGGCAAGAGGGTAAGAAGCCCCCTCCAACACACATGCTTGCACATGCATCCACACGCACACACACACACGTTTCGCTGCATTGGACAGGAAGTGGTGACGTCGGTCCATAGACGCCAGCATCCCACTTGAATAAGCCCAGGCGTCTGTCCTTAAAACACTCCCGATGAAGAAATTCACACCTTTCGGCATTTAAGGCAAGTGTCACTTCTTTTTCTTCGCTAACTGCAGCTTGATGAAAGCCGTTTGGTGAAGTCACTGTCATCCCAGGCCTTAGAAACGCTCCAGCGTCCAGTGGAACCGTGGAGACGGCTGAAAGGTTCAGGAGTGAGAACCCGGGACCTTGTCAACCACCACAGCCTGGGGCTCTGTGGTGGGAATTCGCAGCTTTCTAAATTAGAGAAGGCTTCACTCTTCAAAGAGGCCTTTTAAACACTGGGTGAACCCAAAGGGAAAAGAAAATGAAGCCGCAAGACTTTTAGTTCAAGTAGAAAAGTGGTTCCGACTGCACATCTGCGGCGGAGCCTTGCAGGGCGACGGGGACTTCAGGCTGCATTAGGCCCTGGGAGGTGAGACAGGCTTTGGGGGAAAATGTGCTCCAGGAAAGGGAAACATCTGTTACTGATTTATCCCCCAGCCCCCTGCATGCAGCCTCACAGAGTGTGGCTTCCGAAGGGACCCTGTCCGAGGCTGACACACGCGCTGCTTGCTGTGACTGCTCTGCCGTGAACGGAGGAGCAGGTTCATTTTCAGGCTGTGCCATCTTTAGATGCAAACGTGGCCCATCTCCCTAGGGAAGGCAAAGCACCAGGGACAGGGGCCCGGACCCTCCCGCTGCTGTAAGCCTGAGAAAGCAGGGACAGGGAACCTGTGAGTCACGTAGCTGAAAGAGCAGTGACCCCCACGCCTTGGGAGGGTGCCCCTTTTCACAGCTTTTCCTCCTGGTGCGGCCAGTTGGACCCCAGCAAAGGAGCAATAATGGAAATTTCCCACTCCAGCTGGGGTGCCCCATTCCAGCCCCTTCTCAGCTGAAAAGAGACGGAGGACTCCACGGACCATGGATACTGGACCTGTGTGGTCCCCAGGGCTGACTCCTACAAAGAAAAAGAGAGCCAAGGGAGGTGATGTGGGGCCGCTCTGGGACAGTTAAAGGACAGGCCTGGGAACTTTCAGCTGTGTGTTGAACCTCCATGGGCCTCAGTTTCCCCACTGGCACAATGGGGAAAAGATAGATGGTGTTTCTTCAGGGAAGAAAGGGAAGAGGAAGAAAAACCCAATAGCGCACTTCCTTGGCGGGTCTCTGGGAAGACGAAAGAAGACGAAGCACAGGAAGTACCTGGCCAGGTACTGACACATCTCAAATGGTCATCATTATTTATTTCCCTGTTATTCATACACTGTCCATCTCTGAAGCCGTCGCTGTCAGCGGTCACCAGCATGTGGGGGGCTGCGGTCAGTGCCGCTGAAAGAAAACATGACTGTGAAATTATTGATCCACTCAAGCTAAGAGGTGTCTGGCAGCATGGGTGAAAAGTTTTCTTAAATCTCCGTCCCTAATTCCTTCCTGATTGTCACTGCCTCCTGTCTGGGCAGCAGGTTTTGTCTCCAGCCAAGATGTTGGCTCCGGAACTGAAATCTGTGTCTTTAAACCAAAGCACGCACATCTTGCTTCCATACAGCACAAGAGGCAGTGATTTGGTCAATTCTCCCAACACGAATGCTCTTAGAGCCGTGTTTTGTGACAAAGTATGGAAGTTCTTTCTGTTCCCTCCTCACTGAAGAAGGGAAGGTCAGTCACTTCTTGGCAGACGTCCTGTCCAGTATGCCAACCTCTCTGAGACCTGTGCTCAGAGCACCCTTCAGCCAGGCCTGGACACTGACCTCCAGAAGTGGGGAGATGAGGAATGGGTGCTATGGCAAGTTGTGGTCATGGGTTCTGCAACAGCAGAAAATACCAAATCTCAGATCCGCTGTGGAAGCAGACCTGGCAGCCTTGGCCCCTGGAACGTGGCTGAGTGAATGAGTGAACGTAGGAGTGAACGAGCGAGCAGTGTCTTAGCACGGCAACGGCGGGAAGCGGTTGGGAGCCTGATGGGCACTGGAGTCAGACAACCTGGCTCTGCCTGTGTGACCTCGGGGAAGTCGCTTAACTTCTCTGGGCTTTGGTAAAACAGGGGACGGCAATATGGTATTTGTCTCACAGTTGTCATGGGAGGGCAAGGACAGGCCTGGAAGATGGGCAGCCCAGATTCAAGGTCGACCAGGTCACCTGGCCACAGGCAGGTCAAGAAACCTCTGTAAGTCTCCTTTCCTATCCCCCAAACAGGGGTGAGGACATGGCCAGCCTTGCTGCCTCTCTGGCGGGAGGTCCTGTGAGAGGAGGTCCCTGCGGGCACTTTTCAAGCTGTGGAGCACTACAGCCCTGTCAGCTATGCAAACTGCGAGTCGCTGAGTCTGTGGTAGCTAAGCGAACTGTGCTGTGGCCAAGTCAGCCATACACACTGTAGAGTGCCGTTTCCACGTTAGGTATGCGAACTGTAAAGTGCGGTGCGCATGTTAGTACCTAGAAGGGGAAGCTGTGCCTGGGTTAGCTATTCAGAGTGTGTTAGCGGGAGAGCAGAACTACAGCCGGGAGCAGAGGGAGGGGTTGTCTGCTGGCAGGGGGAGGAAGGTCGGAGAGGAGGAGCTTCGGGTGGTCGGCCAGGGAAAGCCACCGGAAACCACCAGAAGATGCGAGGACGGAAGTCGAGGTCAGCCCCTTGCACAGGTGGGTCTGAGTGTGTGGGTACTTCTGGATTGACAAACTGGAAAGAAGCCAAGAAGATGAAAATTGCCAGCTGATGCAGCAGAGGAATTTACAAACACCTCCATGCCAAACCTCCGTCTTCCCTGAAATGCCCTTAAGCTTTGAGTCTCAGGCTGAGAAGCAGGTGGCCGCGGCCTGGATGCCGTGTGCGGCTACCGCAGCAGAGGGGGAAGGAAAGGAGACTGAGAGATGGGGCTGGGAGGAACTGGAAGAAGCCGCGTCACTGCCCTCAACCCGTTCCTGCAGCGGGGGAAACAGGACCAGAGACGCCGCGGCACCTGTTACCACGGGCCTAAATGCTGCCCGGTATTTGATCCCCCCACGCTGCTCCACACAAGGAGCGGATGGAGACCAGGCACCCGGCAGGGAGCTGGACGGGAGGTCCTCGGCACGTCTTCCCCACGCTGGGCTCCCGCACGCCTTTCAGGGGTGCCTGAGACCCTATTCATCCAGTAAACATGCACTGAACTCCACGCCAAGCTCCTCCTGCTCCTCCTCAATGCGCCTCTAGGGGGCAGCACATAGCATTCTCATTCCAGGAAGCACAAGTTTTCCAAACTCTGAGGCTCTGTTCCGCACCATGGGGTGGCTCAGAGGGCAGCTTCCTAACGGCTTTTTTTCCCCCAGAAGTGAGCAAACCAGGATATATCTACATCTCTCTTTTCCTGTGCACAGAGCAGGCAAGGCGCCCGAGATTGGCAGCTGTTCTTACAGACAGTAGCCTCCTCGAGGACCTGCAAGACCGAGAGCAGCCCACGGGAGGCAGGAATGACCTGAAGCGAGGGCAGAGGGCACACAGTAGCGGGCAGGTGTCTGCCGCAAGCCTTAATTATGCTGCCCACGTGACCAGAGAGTTCGGGTCGACCAGAAGGCCAGCTAATCTGCACGCTCCTTGGGAAGTTTTTGTCTGTACTCCGAATTTCCTTAATGCCACTTCTCCAACGCTACCAGTGAGAAATTCCACACAGAGCCAATTACCAGGCTAATTGAGAACAAGGGTCCTTCAGTGCTCTTCACCTGCTCTGAAGGAGGCATCACCACCTGGCTCTGGAGGACGCTCTGACCATGAAGGGTCCAGACAGGGCAACAGCAGCATCTGCTTGGGAGATGGACCAAAGGTGGGAACGAAAGGGAACTGAGCTGCGGGTAACCAGGCTGCACAGACCTGCACCCAAACCAAGGGCAGCATCTACCAGGCAAGGCCAGAGAACAAGAGCGAGTTGCACAGATAAGGGGAGGAGACAGCAGAGGTGGATCTAGTCAAGGTCATGCCATGGGTGGGGACCAGGACTCACCACATTAATTGGGGGTTCTGAGCCCCAGTACTGCTGGTATGCAGGGTCAGATCAGTTCGTCCTGGGCCTCGCGGGGTTCAGCAGCTGTCCTGGCCTCTTCTGGGTCTCCAGACATCACTACCTATTCCCTGGCGGCCAAAATCAACTGCAGCCGAGGGACACTAAGTTAACGTGAGATAACCCGGCACAGAGCCGGCTTTGCAAGTGACAGTGATAAGCACGAACCATGGTGGCTTTTACAGTGCTGTAACCATCACTTGTGTTTTCCTTCCCGGGAACAAATGCAGCCTGCTCCAAACCTTTACCTGGGCCGGGCCACCTGACTGGCTTTGGCCACAGGGATGCTAACGAAGAGGGGCAGGCAGAGGCCTGAACAGTGGCACGGGGCGATTAAGCTTGGCTTCTCTAGCACCTCTGTTCTTGCCACAAGAGCAAGCCCAGGCCAGACCAGGGACAGACGAGCCATGTGGAACAGAGCCTAGAGACCCCAGTCCCCCACACGGACCCCGCTGGGACAGTTAATCCTCACGTCAGTCTCCCTGGATTAAGAAATGCTAAGCAGATCAGTAGAGTGCGCTTCTGGGTGTATCTGCACGTGTCTGCATGGGTCCTGGAGACGTCGCCCCCAAGAATCACCCAGGTTCCCTAGCCCCTTCCTCTCTGGTGCCCCCCTGCTCTGCTCCTTAGCTGCTATGAACTAAGCTGCTTCGCTCCAAACGCCCTTGCATAGTGAGGTTTCTGCCTTGGAGCCTGCAGATCACGTATTAGAATCTAAATTAGATTAGAATCTACATGATAGCTGTCCTCCTATAAGCTGGAGTGTTGAGCATGGTACCCAGCAAGGAAAGCTGCCTAAGACACCAGACAACCCACAGGTACTGAGCATGCTCAGTCAAGATCAGTGTGGGTGATACACATGTCTGGTGAAATGCCTCTTTAGTCTCGAGGGTTTTTGTTACACGGCATGGCTGTGTAAAAAACAAACTGCTACATAAGCAGCTCTGGGGAAGGTAGCATCCTAGACCAGCCCTAGCACTATCAGGGTGGGGACTGCCTGGCTGCTCCTCACTGTGGTATGTGAGGAGCAGGGGGAAGGTGTGGGTGGGAAGACAGCATTAATTCCACAGCTGCTGCAAGGTGGTTTTTAGCAAAGGATGGCACCAGTGGGATAGCCTGGCAACAGCGAGGCTGTTCCTGTTGCTGACTTTTGACTTTCACCAATAGTTTCTTTCCTTGTGGAAGCCCAGCTTCAGTTCTCTAGATAAAGCAGAGAAAACTTCTACAATAACAATGATGTCTTCAACATATGAATGGGTAAAGAAAATGTATTTATACACAATGGAGTACTATACTGCTATAAAGAAGGATAAATCTGAGTCAATCACAGGAAAATGGATGCACCTTGAGGCCATAATATTAAGTGCAATAAATCAAACACAGAAGCTTAACTATCATATGGTTTCTCTTATATGAGAAACTCAGAATATCAATCAATTACAGAGCAAAATAAAAGACTGATAATAGGAAACAGGGAGGTGAATATTTTGTAAATGGGAAGGGAACAAAGAGATGGAGGGTGGAGAAGGGAGAGGAGGAGATGGGCACATAGAAAGAATTCAGTGTGTTACATGCATGTCCTAGCTCCCTATAATGAATATAACCATCACATACCACAAACCTGTACTAATAAAAATTGAAATTAAAAAAGAAACAGAGGGAATGGTGGTGTCATTTCAAGCCAGGCAGGGTGGCACATTCTTGCAATTCCAGCTACTCAGAAGTCTGAGGCAAGAGGATCCAATGTATGATGGCAGCCTGGACAACTTAGCAAGACCCCATCTCGGATTAAAATAAAGAAGAGCTAGGGGAGTAGCTCAGTGTACAGCACCCTTGGGTTTGCTCCCCAGTACCAGGAAGAAAGAAAAATCAAGCATGGTGTCATTTCAGCAACGAGCATCAACCTGAACCAGCCAAGGGTCTCAGTGGGCGGGAGCGTAAGCCAGGAGCACAGCTGAGGGTTGCCGGGCCCGGCTTCCCAGCGCCTCCCTCTCTCCTGGCTATCAGCGCCAGCATTGAAGCCCCAGATGCCTCAGAGAGGCACCGAGGGGCCCCCCACATCTGTCCTTTCTCCAGCTCTGTCCCCAGGCCAAGGCAGCCCTTTAAATGCAAATCAGATGACTCCCTGCCCTCACCTTCTTCGCTTGGGTGACCTCTGAGAGCTTTCGGTGCCTGTGCTCTTCCCCACCCGCCCTGCAGCCACCATCGTCCCTTTGCTTGTGGAGCTCTATAGAGGCTCCTGGCTTCCCTTCAACGAGAATCTCTGCCATGGTTTCAGTGTTGCCTCTGAAACCGAGGCTGGAACTTCGTTGCTATGGTGACGGTAGTACTGGGCGGGATCTCTAACAGATGATTAGCTCACCAGGGCTGTGCCCTCGCCCCACACTAATGCCATAGGACTGGGCTCCCGGTTGAAGGACGGGTGTCTCACCTTACTGTGTCCCACGCATTCTTGCCCGCCACTGGCCACGTGAGATGATGCAACTTGAGGTCCGGCACTGGCACCTGCACTATCCTCCTGCACTACCTGAGCTACACGATAAGGAGCTAAAGATGTTCCTCTTCTTAATACACTATCCAGCCCGTGGTATTCTGTCATGGCAGCAGAAATCTAAGAGGATCAGACCTGGGAACACTGTTCTGCAAGACTCAGCTCCTTCTAGATGCTGCATGCTGTTTCCTACGGCCTGAACTTCTGCATAAGTTTGCTTGTTTTAGACTTAGGGATTAAAGCACTGGAGTATCTCACGAATATGGTGGGTGGGAGTCTGGTTACAGACTTTCCCATCCTCCGAGTCCTGTGCCTCAGGGCTCACACAGGCTGCCAGGTGCCAGCTGAGGCTGCTGTCATCTCACTTCTAGGGGAAAATCTGTTCCAGGCTCACTCAGCTGCCCCTTGGAGGGGATCCGGTTTCTCAGGGACCAGGGCCCAGAGGCTCCCCGCAGTTCACTGCCCTGTGGGTCTCTTGGCAGCTCAGATCCCAGGGCGCGTGTCACCTCAGTGAGAGAATGAGAGAGGGGCATGGTGTCCTCAGTGTTCTAATCTCAGAAGTGACATCCCGCTACCCTGCTGAGCTCTGTGAGAGGAAGTCCCAGGTCCTGTCCCACCCCAGCAGGGGCGCCACACAGGGTGTGGACACCAGGAGCTGCTGAGCACCCCCTCCCTTCCCTGGAAGAGCCCTCTCTCACCTCCACGCCAACAGAGGGGCCCCAGTCCTGCCTGCATCCTCGCCGTGGTCACCCACAGAGGCTCTGCAGGTGCGGGCACCACCTTCATCCTGGACACAGAGCAGGACACAGCCGATAGGACTCTGCCCTCAGGGACTTTTCATTCCACTATGGGGGAGCAGATGAGGAGCAGACAGGCCTGAAGAGGCAAGCTGGCACCCCTGGGGTAGGAAGATGGAGCAGGGGAGGCCAGAGTGACTAGACAGGATTCCCCTCTTCATAGCCCTGGAGGAAGCAGGGAGTCACCCACTGCTGGCACCCACAGGAGCGTGTCGCCGGCAGGAGGAAGAGCAGTGCAAAGGCCCTGGGGTGGGAACTCAATAGGAGATGCAGGAAGCAGTGAAGGGAGGCTCAGTGGTGGGTGAGACGGGGTGGGCAGAATGGGCAAGAGGAGGGGAGAGGAAGGGGGAGAGGAGGTTGGTGAGAAGCCTGAGGAGTTCGAGGGAGATGACAGGGCTGGGACCAGGGTCCTGGCAATGGGGACAGGGAGCGGCTGTGTGGTGGCACCAGCTATGGCTGTGATACCTGCACTGAGCCGCTGTTGGCTTCAAGGCTGTGTCTGTCTGCCTTCAAAGCCTGTGGTGTGGCAGGAATACAGGGAGGGGAGGGTTCTACGTCACAGTGTAGGACACCTGATCTCTGACGCAGAAGGGACACTGTGAAGTCCAGAAACTTCCCTGGGACTGAAGTGGGTCTCCTTCTACTACTTCCTCGCTGTTTTGCCTCAGGTAAGTGTCTGAACCTCTCTGAGCCTTGTTTTCTAATCTGAATGGTTGAGCAGATAACTTTATCTCAGCAGGAAAAGCCAACATGGAGATGCAGATGAGCAGGTGGTGATGCTGACACAGACGAGCTCCTCGCTGCTGACCTTGGGTGTCATCAGCCTCCCCTCTGTGGAGCTATCTCCTGCAAATGGAGTCTAAACTGAGGCAGGAGTTCAAAGCCCGTGATGCTTCATTAGCTCATAATCCTGGCGTCCTTAAGATTCTGCTCGACGGACGATGAGCTTCGTCTGGTTAAAGTCTTTGGAAGTTGAGGACCACACAGAACACACTTCACCCGCGGGGCACCAAGCTCAGCAAACAGTACTGGAAAGACAAAGGCTTTGCGCCTTGGGAATCTGGTCTTTCCTCCCAGAATCCAAGCCAGGAGTTTGGGCACTGTGGTGAGATCCGCTGGGTCACTGGTGTGTGCCCTGCGACAGTCACACAGGCTCTGGACCTCGATTTCTCATCCGTACACTAAGGGTGAGGGGAATCGCCCCTCCTCCAGGGAGTCCAGGAGCGTAGGCGGGGCCACCATCTGCCCCTGCGCCTGGCACACGCCAGACATGGGAAACACTGCATCTGCCTTCGTCATCTTCAGCGCTGCCACCACCCTTGTCACCACTATCACCCAACAGGTGCCGAGCACCTCCTGGGAGCCACTCTTGGGACATAAAACAGGGTCCCGGCTTGTGACACACTCAGATTTGTTTATTTCACAGCTCCAAAAGTATGTGCTCTTTCAAGGACTTGGAAGGGCAAACAAAATGTCAAGCACAGAAGAAAAAAGAAGAAACAAAAAATCAAGTGACAGTCTACATATGGCCTAAAGCCATGGGGCAGAAAGAAGAAAGAGCTCCTTTCTATGCCACCAGTGGGGTGCCACCACTTGGGAGAAAGGAGAGGTCTGGGGTGAAGGGTCAAAAGCCCAAGCCCCCAGCGTCCCACCTGCTTCCAGGGGCCGCCCTCCGTGTCCCACGCCATGGGGCTCAGAAAGACTGCTGTGTGGCTCCATGCTCGGGCCAGGTGCAAACCCTCTGAGGCCGCCTGACAGAACCCTTAGCCGGACACTTGGATGCGAAGAGAAGCCCATGGGAGTCACTCAGAAAAGCACAGTCCTGACGCCCACCCTCCCCCAGGGAATTCAAGGAAGAAAGGTTTTTGGTGTGTTTTGATGAAATTAACAGGCGCCCAGAGGGCAGGATCTAAATCAGCTCCCTGGCCAGGATCACACGCTGAGGTTGTGAAGTGGAGTCAGCAAAGCAGGAGGTCGTTTGTTCTCTCTAACTGCTCCTGAGTGTCCTCTCTGAAGCCTTGGAGTCCAGGGTCTGAATCCTAACCATACCGTGGCTGTCCATGTAGACCCGGGCACTCTGCTGAGCCATGGGTTCCTCAACTGTGGGAAGGCACAGCCCGGTCCATGCAGGTAAAGGAGGCTTCAAAAGGACCAAAGTGAGACTCATGGGTGCACAGCTGACGTGTCCAGCCTGTGCCAACCAGGAGAGAGTACCAACCTAGAAGCTGCACACACTCAGGCACCTGGGGTCTCCAAACAGATGCTTTATCACCCAGGTTAATGTGGAGACTTCTAGGCAGGGCGGTCCATGCTGGGAGTCCTCCAAAGAAAGATGCTGGGCCTTATGCTTCCTGCAGCTCATTGCTTCAGCTGGGTTCGCACATAGCACTCGCTAACTTTGGATGAACTGTACTTAATTAGAGAAAAAAGCCAGGGAATCAAACCTCAGGACTTAAAACTTTTACTGACTGAAGGAAGGGAAAAATAAAAAAATATATTTATGTACAAGATAGTTAAGATAGTTATACTCTTTTTTTTTTTTTTGGTTTTTCTCCGGTACCGGGAACCGAACTCACGACCTTGCGCTTGCCAAGCAAGCGCTTTTGCCGCTGAGCTAAATCCCCAGCCCCCGATAGTTATACTCTTTTAGTTCACCGAAAAGAAAAGCTTGTGCTAATAATTGTTTGGGCAATGCCTATATCTTGTACTATGAAAACCACTATGAAGACTATACCCAATGTATTAATTATTGTAACTCTCCTATTAACCTGTTTTATACAATGGAGTACTACTCAGCCATAAAGTAGGATAATCTTTTTTTTTGTACCAGGAATTGAACTCAAGACCTTGTGCTTGTGCCGCTGAGCTCTATCCCTGGCCCACTAACCTGTTTTAAAATTGTTTTATTTTTATTTTTTTCTCTTTAAAATGAAAAAAAAAAAAAAACCCTTCACTGACTTCAAACAACTCCTCAGAATTCTGTTTGATGACAGTGGAAATGAGTCAGAAACATATGGTCTCAATTTCCCAACAATTAACACGACAGACAAACAAATGCAGGAAAGCAGGGGGCCTTGGAACCCGGGCTTGAGCTTGCAAAGCAGCCTAGGACTCCAGAACTCTAGGGAACCCCAGGTGTGTGGATAGTGCTATAGGAAAGCTGGAGAGAGAGGCTTGGAAACAAAGGAAACAAAGGTTTCAAAGGAAAACCCAGACTATTATCAAATAGGTTTGGAAAATTCTGAAAGAGACCTGCTAAGACCAGGAAGCCGACCATCAGGGGCTGCTCTCCACCTGGTACAGGGCCCAGGACTACACAGTGGGGCTCCCACTGAGCAAACATTAAATTGCACCCCTCTTACTGCAATACTCACTTTCTGGTGCATCAGCAGGTGCTGTGGTTGGCATGGTGTGGGTACTATCTCATATCCTCTTACATCCTTATTACCTCTCATAACTGTGAATCCCTACATGCCAATTTAATTGGGTAGAAATGCCCAGAAGATCAGCAGAGCCGGCTCCTGGGTGTATCTGGATGGGTCATGGAGGTGTGACCTTGGGTACCATATTTGGTCCCTCAGCCATTCTTTTCTGGCACTGTTCCCCTGTTCCGCTTCCTGGTCACCATGAACTCAGCAGCTTTGCTCCGCCACACCCTTCGGCCCTGAAGCTCCTGCTCTGGAGCCAGCAAACTATGGGCTGAATCCCTCCAAACCGTGAGCCAAATTAAACCTCTGCTCCTGTAAGTTGGGGGTACTGGATATTGTGCCCAGTGATGGAAAAAGACTAATCTACCTCCAGATGCCAAGTCCTGCCTGATACACAGTGCAGCCATGATGTCCCCTCTGCCCTGTGAACACGGTTCCACCCTGCACACCTGGCCATCACAGTCTGCATCCCGAGTTGGAAAAGAAATATATCTTATGCACCAATGATGGCATGACGATGTCCACGCAAGG